GTCAATAGGATTTTCTCAATGCATCCTCGGTCTACATAACAGATTGAAATAGAGACTCAGGAATCAAAGAAGTCTAATTTTGTGTTAGATAGTCATTAATATTATTTCTTTTCCAGATTATTAGAAATCTAGTATTGCAGGTTGTATGAAACCCACCTCAGAGAGGAACTGACTCGTGAGCACTTGACACAGAAGTCGTTATATCGGAGTTATGTACTTCTTGATCTTCTGTTGCAATCTGTCTTAGCTCGCTCAGTGCAGGCAACAGAACGGTGGCAAGATCAGGTCTGTCCTTTTTACGCAGCTCGCAGCACTGCAAAGCCAATTGAGCTAGCACCAGAGTCTCTTTTTCAGGCCAGTCTGATATTTTTTGATCCAGGACTTCTCTGAGTCTATTTTTCTCAATTGCTTTCTCTACTCTATGGCTTAAACCCATTGCTGGCATCGCTGTGATGATTTGCAGAAGCACCACACCAAATGAATACAAGTCAGACTTCACTCCAAGCATTCCCGTTTGCTGGTACTCAGGGTCAATGTAACAAAATGTACCTGTTTCAGCAATTGGGCACATGTTAGAACGTCAAAAGGAGATGGAAAGATTAGATTTGGTTGGTTTAAGGTAAATTAGAAGTATTACCGGCAGCAGCAGTCATGTGATAATGAGTGAAGCTATCAGCAATGGCGGGAGGTACCAACCGAGCTAAACCAACATCACTGATTTTGCTATTTAAATGCCTGTCTAGCAGAATGTTTGCTGGCTTCAGATCTCGATGTACTAGTGGCTCGGGTTTGGCCTGGTGAAGGAAAAGAAGTCCTGTGGCAATCTCAGCAGCGATTCTGAACCGTGCTCTCCAAGATAATGGTGGAGTATTGTCTTTGCAGAAGAGACGATCTTCTAGTGTTCCATTTTCCATGTATTCATACACAAGGCAACCATACTCGGGACAAGCACCGAGGAGGATCACCATGTTTGGGTGTCTCATGCAACTTAGAACCTCGATCTAGTGAGAGAAAACATGTGTATTAGTATGGAGAGACATGCAATATATAAGGATGATGTCAGATTCTATTATTACCTCTTGTTGGAACTGCTTCAGGCCTTGTGAGACATCTGACTTCAAGATTTTGATGGCAACAGAAGTGTTATCAAGAACGGCTTGATACACAGGTCCATACCCTCCTTCCCCAATCTTTAGATCATCTGAAAAACCATCGGTTGCACCTTCGACATCTTGGATGCTGTATCGTCTGTAGGATACGTTATTGTCCATCTCCTGTTCGTTGAACCTGGCCTGCATCTCCACGAGTCTTCTCTTCTGCTTCTCCATTTCCGTAAGGCGATGTGCCATTTCATCTGCTTGGGACGCAGTCTGTGTCTTTTGCTTATCCATCTCAGACAATGCCCTAAGCATCTCTCTTGCTACCTTTGCTTCCTCCAACTTTTCAGTTCCGGCGATAGCTGTAGGTCCTTGAAGATGAGGGGCCTACAAGCATTCATTCAATGTCTGATATTAGTCAGACATCTCTGGAACCTTTTCAAGGAAATATTGTTGGTCATCCACAAGGAAGTAAGTATCTTACACTTTCTCGGCCAATGGAAGCATTAAACTGCTGCAATTCAAGTCTCAATCTTCTCACCTCTGCTTCAAGATTATGATTCTGAGCATATTCATCAACAAAGAACACAAAAATATCAGTACCATGCACTTGACATCTGCATACCCGAGAACACCAAATCTAAGTTTCTGAAACATTTACCTGTTGATCAGTGATATTTCCCCCAGAAAAGCTATCCTCTCCATCTGTTATCTCAGACTACAGATTTGAAAGAAAATGTTAAAACGCCAGGCCACTCGGAGGCAAGAATGTGGATTTGAAATGTGATGATTATGCTACTAACCAAGGTCGTGGAAGACTGTGAGCTTCCTCCATAGGTGGATCGTCCTAGGATGCTGTAGAAACTCGCATTTGAGTCAGCACTGTGACTGCTGGGATAGAATTCAGTGCTAAGCTCTGATAGAGAACTCCTATTGAAAGGTGGCTTGTAATGAGGTGTAGGTGGAGAGAAATCTCCGTTTAATGCAGGTGATGATCTGCAAGAATGGCAAAACCAATGATTCCTATGAAGCAAAATGCCATTTATTCACCAGACAGAATTGGATGAAAACTTTAGGTTAATTACCTTCCTGAGTCACTCGAATTGGAGCTTGTCGGGCCAGGATCAGATACCATAGAGAACGCGGCCTGTTTAGTAAGGTGAGGAGAGTGTAGTTGAGGTGTATTAGGCCGACTTGCTGATCTACTTGTTAAGAGCTTCCCTTTAGACACAATAAAAACAGCACATGTATCTGGAGTAGTTTTAAGTAGAGTCGTTGGCACATCTACGCTCTTAAACTTCCTGATTAAGACCATCACAAGGAGCTTTTAGCAATCATGACAAGTAAAGTTTGAGATTAAAGTCAGGTTATACGAGGGAAAAGATAGAGACTTGAGGAAGGAGTTTCGCGCAGAGGCTCCAAGGACTATATTTGCAATGGAGTTGTTGGTGATGTAGTCAACAATTGCACTTGAGATGTCGATATCGTGAAGAAGAACCTCCGTTGCTATAATCTGATATACATATATGAGAGGTCAGAGTTATACATACATAAATGTGATTGTTGTGAGGAGAAAAAAGAGATTGGTCACTGTACCCCTTTTCGAGCACAGAATCCTCTGAAAGGAAGGAAAAACTGATGGGCCTCTTCTTGGTTGTCATGTGGTGCTTGATCTGTGTTCTCTCCTGCACCAATTCCTGTTTCAATAGGTTAAATTAGATTGACTGAT